GTTTAGGGGTTTAAGGGTCTAGGGGTTTAGGGTGTAGGGAACCCTGAAAAGGCTCAAGGGTCATATACCATATAGGAGTTCATACTCTTACTTCCCCAATAAGTCAGGAAAGTAAAAGGTTAAACTTTCAGGTTACTACTAAATTGTAAGAGCCCAAAAAATTAAAAGGTCGGGTATTGGGGAACTAAGTATAGGGGTTCATACTACAAAGGTATAGGGCCTCTGCTCTCGAGGGTTTAGGGCTTTAGGTCCTTACCTTAAGGACGAAAAGAGTCCTAAAAGGGGTTAAGGTTCATATACCATATAGGGATGCATAGCATAAGGGTATAGGGCCCGTACTTTTAAGGTTCTTTTCGTCCTTAAGGTAAGGCAAGAGTGTCGGGGTTTAATAATTTCGAGTTACTGAAAAACCCCTAACTAGTCGTTCGTAAGGCCTTATGACCCTTCTGGATTTTCGTGGACTTTGCGGGCCCTGAATCATACGAAATCCTGAAGCCCCAAGCCCTACGTTAACCTCCAACACCCCCAACCGATGAGCGAACAGCTTCTGTCGCGACTGCTCTCGCGCGAAGGCTCGGTCGAGCATGTCACTCTGCTGCAGCTGCATGCGCGGGTACTGGTCCTGCTCCCAACGCAGAAATTGCGAGTTGTAGAAAAAGAATTTCTCGGGAGCCATCGCGCTCCTCGGGTTCTTGTTGTTGGTGTTGGCTTGTCGCCCCAGTCGACCCAGCACGTCCTCGAGACATTCTTTCGTGCTGGCGTGACCATCGAACAAATGGTGCACATGACTGTACAAGGCAGCCGGTGAGAACTCGAAAGTCTTGCGGTGCTCCCAAAACTCCTGGCGACATCGAACCAAGCCCCTAAAGCTCCTGCTGCGGCCCTTGCGCCTGCTCCTGCTCTTGCTGTTGCTCCTTCTTTTGCTCTTGCTCTTGCTCTTGCTCTTACTCCCGCCCTTGATTGTGCTTTGCTCTTGCTAACTTTAATGCTAACTCCTACTCTTGCTCTTGCTCTTGTGTGCTGCCTCGAAACCCTCCCCCGTAATTCAGAATAGGTTTTAAAGGGCAGATATGATTTTGGGTGGATTGGTCCCAAAGTGTTTTTATTTTTGTTACGGTGGTGTTTAATCAAATAGGGGAAGCGATCAATATAAGTGGGGGGGCAGCGATTACTCACATCTGAATAATACATAGGCCTTGATTCTTTAAAAAGGATTTAGGGATATACTATTACTATTCTGAAAAATTCAGCCTAAACCCTAAAACCTAAACCGACAACGGTCCACAAAAGGACGCTACTACAACTAAATAGGGACTGTGGGGGGGATTCTTGATTCAGACCTCCTCGTTAGGGTTTAGGCTCTAGGGTCTTCGTTAACCCAAACTTCTCCGTAAACCTTAACAGCAGACTTCAGCGGTTCAAGTACGCCATTCTTGGCTTTGTCAGAGTTGAAGAACCCTAAACCCTAGTCCTGAACCCTAAACCCTGAGCCCTAAACCCCTAAACCCCTAAACCCTAAACCCCAAACCCCAAGCCCTAAGCCCCTAAACCCCTAAACCCTAAACCCTAATCCCTGACACCCTAAACCCTAAACCCTGAAACTCTAAACCCCAAGCCCTAAACCCCAAAACCCCACACGCTAATCTAAGATCCGAAAGCGTTAAACATTCAAGGTTTTGGGGCGTCATCTCTGAAGGTCACTAGGATGCCCAGTAACCTAGGAATAAACAGGGCTCCCCTATGTATGAGGAACCTAAGACCACGAAAAAGGGGAAAAAGGGCCCACTGGGAGACCTAGGTCAAGATTCAGAACCAGGATTACAGGATGAGGGCTGCCTTCGGGTTTCAGGGTTTAGGGCTTCAGAGTTTAGGGTTTAGGGTTTAGGGCTTCAGGGTTTAGGGTTTAGAGTTTCGGGGTTTCAGGGTTTAGGGTTTAGGGCTTCAGGGTTTAGGGTTTCAGGGTTTCAGGGATTAGGGTTTAGAGTTTCAGGGTTTAGGGTTTCAGGGTTGAGGGTTTCAGGGTGTAGGGTTTCAGCTTCTCTGGCTTCGTCCCTCCGACTTGGAATGTATGGCGTCAGCGCGCCTGGCACCTGCATCTGCTGTTGATGCATCTGCTGCGGATGCATTTGCCTGAGTTGAAGCGTGCTCAAAAGCACTATAAAGGTTTTGGGTTTAGGGTTTAGGGTGAACTTTAGCCACATATCCGCATGCCGGGTGATATCCTGCATGTAGTTTTACATAAAACCCTAAGCCCTTAATACACCCTGAAGCCCTAAAGCCCTATGTCGTAAAATCCTGCAAACCCTGAAGCCCAATGCCCTCAAGCCCAAATGCTCGAAGTCTTAAAGAACAAACCCAAGGTTAGTGATTACTTGGACCAAGCCGCTGCTGATGCCCTTTCACATCCTTATGTAAAGAGATTGTAACATACCCCAAGACCCTATATACTAATGATCAAACCTTGACTACACTGGAACCCTTAAAGAACTTTCAAGATAAAAGGCAGACAGGAGCCCTAAACCCCAAAATGCCCTATGTTGAATGCATTACTTGACGCCTCAAAGCCTCCAGCAGGACTGAATTGTAGACCCTAAACCTCTAGGTAACCCTTAAATGCACCTGAAACAAAACCCTAAACCCTGAACCCCAACGGAACTCTACATGCACCAAGCCACTGTTGTTGCCTCAAGGCCTCAAAAGATCTCAGAAGCTCACTTGATCGAAGCCTCAAAGAACTCAATTTCAGACCCGAGAAACCTTAAAGCAAGACCTACTGACGGCTGAGGGTCGTTTAAGCCTGCGCCCTAAACCCTAAACCCCTACTTGCAGCAAGCCGCTGTTGATGCATGTGCCCTGGTGGCATCTGCGGCGGTGGAGGAGGAGGCGGCCTGAGCAGCCCCTAAACCCTAAACCCTAAAGCCCCTTTCTGACAGGGTTTAGGTTTTTGAGAACCTTAGGTCCTTCCAAGGTCTATGACAACTGTTTAGGTTTTCGGGTCTAGGGTTTAAGGCTTAGGGCTTAGGGTTTGGGGTTTGGGGCTTATAGTTTCTATAGGGTCTTATGGCACTGAACCTAATAGGGTTGTTCAATGGAGTGATATAGGGTTGTTGATAGGGTATTAGATATAGGGTTGTCAGCAGGGTTACATTGGCTTCTTCAAAGATTTAATAACTAGGTTGGCCACTCAAAGCCTCTGACAAATATTAGTAAGTAAGATCCTCTCAATCCAAACAAGGGGACATCTAAAATGTCCCGAAGGCCTACATAGATAATAAGGTTGTACAGCCCTTGGCACTCCAAACAAACCCCAAACCCCAAACCCTAAACCCCTAAACCCCTAAACCCCTATTACCTAAAAGCAGGCTTCGTGTTCAATCGCGGGCCCGTAATTAGAAGAGGGAAGTTATTATCACTAACTAATTAATGTAGGGGCCCTAATAAATGGAATAGGGTTTGGGGTATATTATACTATAAATATAATAAGGACCCCCCCCCAAA